GTCCCCTATTTATTTCCCTTACTTATGACATATAGAGATCATATGGAATCTGTGCAAGGAAAATAAGCTAATGCTATCTGGGTTAAAACAAATTAAAAGACATATATGGACATTGGAAAATGGCTATAAAGCTAAAAAAAGATTACACAAAATAACTTTGCAAAGGGGAGGCTTAGGGTCTTGTCACCACTCATGGATGTTCGTGCACACCCAGCATACACGCCGCATGCCTGTAACCCACTGCCCATGTTTTTGGCAGCATGATTTCCATGACGTAACCGGATCCAACAGGTTAACTGGTTTTTACACTGGATATTATCTTGAAAACACTCCTTCCCCCATCATCTCCCCTTTCCCTCTCCCTCTCCGCCTTCCCATTGTCCCCCAATTTCCCTTTTGTCTCCCTCTCCATTTCCCTTTTGTCTCCCTCTCCCTTTCTTTCCCTTTGTCTCCCTCTCCTTTGGCCTTCCCTTTTTCTCCCTCCCTTTGCCTTTCCCTTTTGTCTCCCTCTCCCTTTGCCTTTCCCTTTGTCTCCTTTCCCTTTGCCTTTCCCTCTCCCTCTCCCCTATCCCTTTTTGCATCTCACCTCTCCCTTTGCCTTTCCCTTTTGCCTCTCCCTTCATCCTTTCCCTTTTGTCTCCCTCTCCCTTCTCCTTTCCCTTTTGTCTCCCTCTCCCTTTGCCTTTCCCTTTTGTTCTCCCTCATCCCTTTGCCTTTCCCTTTTTCCCTCTTCTTTGGTCCCTTTTGTCTCCCTCTCCCTTTGCTTTTGTCTCCTCTCCCTTTGCCTTTCCCTTTTGTCTCCCTCTCCCTTTGCCTTTCCCTTTTGTTCCCTTCCCTTTGCCTTTCCTTTGTCTCCCTCTCCCTTTGCCTTTCCCTTTTGTCTTTCTCCTTTGCCTTTTTTGTCTCCCTTTGTCTCCCATTTCCCTTTTGTCCCTCTCCCTTTGCCTTTCCCGCCCTTTGCCTTTTCCCTTTGTCTCCCTCTCCCTTTTGCTTTCCCTTTTTGTCTCCCTCTCCCTTTGCCTTCCCTTTGTCTCCCTCTCCCTTTGCCTTTCCCTTTTGTTCTCCCTCTCCCTTGCCTTTCCTTTTGTCTCCCTCTCCCTTTGCCTTTCCCTTTTGTCTCCCTCTCCCTTTTGCCTTTCCCTTTTGTCTCCCCTCTCCCTTTGCCTTTCCCTTTTGTTCTCCCTTCTCCCTTTGCCTCATCCCCTTTTGCCTTTCCCTTTTGTCTCCCTCTCCCTTTGCCTTTCCCTTTTGTCTCCCTCTCCCTTTGCCTTTCCCTTTTGTCTCCCTCTCCCTTTGCCTTTCCCTTTTGTCTCCCTCTCCTTTGCCTTTTCCCCTTTTGTCTCCCTCTTCCCTTGCCTTTCCCTTTTGTCTCCCTCTCCCTTTTCCTTCCCTTTTGTTCTCCCTCTCCCTTTGCCTTCCCTTTGTCTCCCTTCCCTTTCGCCTTTCCCTTTTGTCTCCCTCTCCCTTTGCCTTTCCCTTTTGTCTCCCTCTCCCTTCCTTTCCCCTTTTGTCTCCCTCTTCCCTTTGCCCTTTTCCCGCTCTCCCTCTTTCCCTTTGTCCCTCCCTTTGTCTCCCTCTTCCCTTTTTTCCCTTTTGTCTCCCTCTCCCTTTGCCTTCCCTTTTGCCTCCCTCTCCCTTCTTTCCCTTTTTTGTCTCCCTCTCCCTTTGCCTTTCCCTTTTGTCTCCCTCTCCCTTTGCCTTTCCCTTTTGTCTCCCTCTCCCTTTGCCTTTCCCTTTTGTCTCCCTCTCCCTTTTGCCTTTCCTTTGTCTCCTCTCCCTTTGCCTTTCCTTTTTGTCTCCCTCTCCCTTTGCCTTTCCCTTTTGTTCCCTCTCCCTTTGCCTTTCCCTTTTGTCTCCCTCTCCCTTTGCCTTTCCCTTTTGTCTCCCTCTCCCTTTGCCTTTCCCTTTTGTCTCCCTCCCTTTGCCTTTTGTCTCCCTCTCCCTTTTCCTTTCCCTCCCTCTTTTGCCTTTCCCTTTTGTCTCCCTCTCCCTTTGCCTTTCCCTTTTGTCTCCCTCTCCCTTTGCCTTTCCCTTTTGTCTCCCTCTCCCTTTGCCTTTCCCTTTTGCTCCCTCTCCCTTCCCTTTTGTCTCCCTCTCCCTTGCCTTTCCCTTTGTCTCCCTCTCCCTTTGCCCCTTTTGTCTCCCTCTCCCTTCGCCTTTCCCTTTGTCTCCCTCTCCCTTCGCCTTTTCCTTTTGTCTCCCTCTCCCTTCGCCTTTCCCTTTGTCTCCCTCTCCTTTCCTTTACCCCCCTTTTTGTTCTCCCTCTCCCTTCGCCTTTCCCTTTTGGTCTCCCTTCCCTTGCCTTTCCCTTTTGTCTCCCTCTCCCTTTGCCTTTCCCTTTTGTCTCCTCTCCCTCCTCCCTTTTTCCCTCCCTCTTTTTTTCCCTTTGTCTCCCTCTCCCTTTGCCTTTCCCGTCTCCTCTCCTCCCTTTCCCTTTCCCTTTGTCTCCCTCTCCCCCTTTCCTTTTTGTCTCCCTCTCCCCTTTCCCTTTTGTTCCCTCTCCCGCCTTTCCCTTTTGTCTTCCCTTTTGCCTTGCCTTTCCCTTTTGTCTCCCTCTCCCTTTGCCTTTCCCTTTTGTCTCCCTCTCCCTTTGCCTTTCCCTTTTGTCTCCCTCTCTTCCTCTCCCTTTGCCTTTTGTCTCCCTCTCTTCCTCTCCCTTTGCCTTTTGTCTCCCTCTCTTCCTCTCCCTTTGCCTCCCTCTCTCCTCTCCCTTTGCCTTTCCCTTTTGTCTCCCTTCTCTTCCTCTCCTCTCTGCTTACCCTTTCCTTTTCTCTCCCTCTCTGCTTTACCCTTTTCCTCTTTCTCTCCCTCTCTGCTTTACCCTTTCCTCTTTCTCTCCCTCTCTGCTTTACCCTTTCCTCTTTCTCTCCCTCTCTGCTTTACCCTTTCCTCTTTCTCTCCCTCTCTGCTTTACCCTTTCCTCTTTTCTCTCCCTCTCTGCTTTACCCTTTCCTCTTTCTCTCCTCTCTGCTTTACCCTTTCCTCTTTCTCTCCCTCTCTGCTTACCCCTTTCCTCTTTCTCTCCTCTCTCTGCTTTACCCTTTCCTCTTTCTCTCCCTCTCTGCTTTACCCTTTCCCTTTTCTCTCCCTCTCTGCTTTACCCTTTCCTCTTCCTTCTCTCCCTCTCTCCTTTGCAATTCCTCTTTCCTCTCCCTCTCCCTCTCTCCTTTACAATTTCCTCTCATCTCCTCTCCCTCTCTTCCTCTCCTCTCTACCTTACCCTTTCTTTCCTTCTCCCTCTTCTTTCCCTCCTCTTCCTCTCCTCTCTGCCTTACCCTTCCTCTTCCCCTCTCTTTCTCTCCCTCTCCCTCTCTACCTTACCCTTTCCTCTTCCTCTTCCTCTCCCTCTCCTCTCCCTCTCTCTCTCTGCCTTACCTTTCCTCTCCCTCTCTGCCTTTACCCTTTCCTCTTCCCTCTCCCTCTCCCTCTCTGCCTTACCCTTTCCTCTCCCTCTCCCTCTCCCTCTCTGCCTTACCCTTTCCTTCCTCCCTCTCCCTCTCTGCTTTCTCTTCCTCTCTCTCTCTCTCTCTCTCTCTCTCTCTCTCTCTCTCTCTCTCTCTCTCTCTCTCTCTCTCTCTCCTCTCTCTCTCTCTCTCTCTCTCCCTCCCCTCTCCCCCCCCCCCCCCCCCCCCCCTCTCTCCTCTCCCTCCCTCTTCCTCTCCCTCTCCCTCTCCTCTCCTCTCTCTCTCTCCCTCTCTCTCTCTCCCTCTCCCTCCCTCCATCCCCCTCTCCCTTTCCCTCCTCCCTCCCTCCCTCCCTCCCCCCTCCCCCCCCTCCCCCCCCTCTCTCTGCCTTACCCTTTCCTCCCCATCATCTCCGTCAAGAGCTTCGTATTGTAAGATTTTTTATTCTATTAGTCCAGGGCTTGAGGCTACTGATGGGTCAGTCACCATACCAGGAAAACCAGAAGGCAGTGAATGCAGTGCCAGTCCAACAGGTGACTCGCTTTATGGATCATCAGCTGATACAAGTGGCTCAGGAATGTCATTTGCCAAGGTAAAGGGAAAAAATGACCCTCTGATTATTTGTTACATAAAAAGTTGGTGTGTTAGGAATAGTTCTTTTTAAACTTTCATTATCATTTAGGTTGAAATTTTAAGAAATTCATTTACCCAGATAGGGCATGTACATACAAACCCTCTGTGATTTTTTAAAAACAGAGGTCTCCAGAAGTTCTTAGTCACCAGGAAGTGAATAATAATGTTACTTATTTATCCTTTTAACTCTTGCTTGTTATTTTATAGTTTGTATTGTTGAGAACATAATAGTAGTAGTAATAATATTATTATTAACAACATTAATGGTGATATTAGAAAAAAGGCCAAAAATTAAATAAAGGGTAAGCAGGTAAGGTCAATATTAATCGACTCCTTGGAGACTGTACTTGTGGAATCATCTGTTTGTAGATGAAAATCATGAACCAAAATTACAGTGGACAGTACATGATGCTCTCTAACCAATGGGTTAAGGGACATCTGTGTGTAGGTCTGTGAGCATAAGGAATGGTACAAGCTGTAACCCATTTGTTTTTCTTATTCTTTTTTTAAGATGATTCGTGAAGGGCAAAGCAAGGTGCATCCTCTACCAAATGAACCTGCTTGTCGAGCTGGTGGGCTATGGCCATCTCTTGGAAAAGCTGCTTGGCCTGATCCTGTGAATCCTGGCAAAAACAGGACTGAAGGTGAGCACATTCATTAAGTGTATGCTCCTGGCAGTTTTTTGTTTTTATTTGGAAGTGATGCATGGTTTGGAATTGTTTATTTTAATATTTGTTAAGGCTTCTTTATACTCAAAATGCAAATGCACATAGGTCAATCAGTATTGCTATTAATATGATTGGATTCTCCATTCTCTTAAAGGTGGCAGTACCTGGGCAATGAAGAGCAATGCAGGTCATGGAGGAGTAGGTGCCCCATCTGCTAACAGTGGACTTCTCTCTGAAGATGAAGATGAAGAGGGAGCTCCTGTTCCAGAGTTTAAACATGCATTTAGTGATGCAATTGCAAAAGCTTTTGATGCTGCAGTTTTGAAACCAACAGGTGAGTTTGGTTTACACTCTTGAATCTTTTCACAATTTCGTCAATTTAGTGTTCATAATTCGTTTACTAAAATGCTTAATTTTTATATCAAGCAGGTCAGAATACAGAGTTGGAAGTGTCCACAGCAGGAGGGAAAAAAGGAAAAAAGAAGAAGAAGAAAGTACTCCTGTTTTCTTCTGGTGGATTCAGCTGAACCTGCTGGTGGTCACAACCTTCAGTGACCAAGGTGTTGCAGCTGTATTTTACAAGCAAATGTTTGAGCTTTTGTTGTTGGTTAGATCACTCACATGTTTGACTTTGTATAATCTTACATGGTTAAGTTGTACTTTACATTTCAGTTGTTTCATTTCCGTGACGAAATATTGATTGTAGGCATTGTATATTTTGTGATAGCATTTGTTATCAGGGCTCATTCACTTGTGTTTTGGTTACTTGATCTAGTTTATCACTTGTGATTTTTGTTTGCTGATATCTTTCCCTCTGTAGTTCAGCTTACAGAGTTTGATTCCCAGAGGAGAAAAAAAAACTTTTAAACTGACAGATTTACCAGTTACAAAAAGCAGCTCTTATTAAACTTAAAGCCTTTACAGTTATAAAGGTAAAACCCTGTTCAGATGAAGTTGCATATTAACTTAAATTCTTTTGGTAAGTATATTACATGTAGCAAAAGTTTCATCTTCCAGGGATTTTTATCTTTGAAGTTTAACTTCATTTCACATTTGTTCAGTTTTGCAAGTTAGGTACCAAGACTACTGTTGCCTTGATCTTGGTAATTGAACAACCCTTTTTATTTCATATCCGTCTTTTAACATTTGAATTTGCCTCATTCTCCAGTCTTGAAGTTAGATGAGGTGCTAATTTGATAACGTAGTCAAATCTTTGATGACCCCTCTATGCTTATAGGTATTACTGTTTATCAGTTAGATAATTTATTCATTATTGTTTATTTTCATTCATAACATGTGTGAATCTGGTATCATTGTATGTAACTGTTGCACCTTGAGAAGTGCAAGTCGCATCGCTTCTGTTGGTCACTAAATAAAATACATAAAAGTTGTATTTGTGTATTATTTCATCATTCTTCTTTTGGGGTATTTAATCAAGATTTAGTATAGACTTATGGAAGACTTCTGAAGATATTTAAAACCTATTGGAAATTTGTAGAGGAAGTTACAGTACCCAAGATGATCAAAAA